CACACACACACACACACACACACACACACACACACACACACACACACACACACAATATGTAGCCCCAGTTGAACGATGAGTAATCCACTGATATGACACTGGTGAGGGTAAAGACCTCAGTACTTTGAGGCYTGCAGAATTGCATTCTGGGAAAGGGAACAGCACAAGTATGAATCATAGGGGTATTAGGGAACAGCTCAACAACCACTGTGTTCCACTTGTGCTGAGAGCCAGGCGAGAAGCTAAGTCTCTTAACAGCTGCTCAGGTTTGGACAGGACAAACATCATGGGTACAAACTGGCTTGTTGAATGGAGCTCTGGCAAGACTTCAGATAACACTGTGGGGGAAAGCATGAAGAGTGTGGATACTTGTGTTAGAGTAGGGAATAAGGGGCAAACACACACACACACACACATTCTGTTTCCACATGAGTAACCAATGCCCAAACCACTCAAGAACATTGGCTTATGAAACTCACATGTTGGTAGACATTGGTCCTGACTTAATAACAACATGCTAAGGGGTTAAAGTGGACCAGAGCCAGCTGGAGCCTATCGCTCTCCTTTTATTTGACATAATACCACTCAAAAATCAACTGCAGCAACTGGATGTGCCAGTTTTCTATTCTGTTACAGAAAACCGATAAGAAAATAGAGGATAAAGAATAAAAAAGATCCTCCTTTAAATGCTTACACAKATAACGGCGGGAGACTTTTAACAATGATCTATTAAATTTGGCTTCGTTATTATTACTTTTTTACCAAACACTGGCCACAACATTAAAATCATCTATCTAATCAGGCTCTTTCACACATGGGTTTTCCATGCATGAACATGGGAGAAGTGGTGTGGTTGACAATGGCAGCAGATCCTTTGAGTGCTGCTCGTCACAGGGTGGGGCTTAGAAAGATCAGGCCTGTCTAGGTGCAGCTCACCTGAACAGGTTGGGAGCCTGAAGGTTAAATAAAATAATTTGTCAAGCTCCTTGAACTGTAAGCAGTTTTCCCAGTATGACAGGGCATTCTGTCCTGCTGGGAACAGTGGGTTTTGTTGGTGATAAATGTTCTATTTTTCTTATTTTGGTAATACAAGCAAAGTTTGAAATTCCTTATTTTCCTTGACTATTTCCTATAGCAAAACTGAGGGGAATTTCAGAACTAAAAAGGCAACAATGTGTTTGAGCATTTTAAAATGTGTTCTGGATAAATGAGAAAGGAAAAAAAATCACCAAATGCTTAACTGCTTGGTATTCTTAATGCAAGAACATCTGTAACTGCTGTGATAGAGAAAGAATGAAATTTATAAATAAGAAAGAGCTTTAACACTTAATCTTTTGGGAAATGGGTTTAACAGGTGACGTTTGCGTTGACGATAAAAATGAAGCTAACAAGACAACCTTTGGAAAAATCCAAAGTTCATACTTCAATCAAAAAAAGTTAAGTAAACCCACATGGTTTCCAGATGTGTACTTTTGACATGAATATGAGAACAAACTACCTCAGTTCAGCTTTCAAATAATAATAAAAAACATGTCAGTTTGATATGATGCATGTTCCATCCAATATTTTCCTATATGTCAGGTGAAATCTTTTAAAGTTGCTACATTAAAATCCTGCCTGTCACTCAGCTGAGAACATTGCATGTTTCCAAGAGATTTGGAACTGTCAAACTGTCTGCAAGGAAATACATTTCAAATTCACAAGAATTACACAGAGTAAAGTGGTTTGACACAATTTTCCACTGTCGAATAAAAAATTCAGTCCTTGGTTCCGTCTGCCATCTGACTGAAAATACACCTGCTTCCAAGTTCCAGTTCTGTAAATTCTGTATGGCTTATCTACTTATAATCTATTAACTAAAGGGTGCAAAACTGTCCACTATTGTAAATAAACTTAGCACAAAAATAAGGAAATTTGTGTTTGGTAGATTATTTGTTTTAACAATGCTTTTTGACAATGAATCTTATACTGTTCAAAATTCCCTTTTAGGTGTACATGCATTTCTCCAATGCCACAACACAGATACTGTATTCTTACTTTTGTGCCAAGTATAGGTAAACAGTTTTGTCTGTTCCATAAGAAAACAAAAAAGATGTTAAAATCTAAAACTAACATATTAGTTAAATGTTAAATATGTAAATAACAGTTAGGAAACTAGTTTTRCTATTTAGCTCAAAATAATCAAACATTTAAATCTTTGTCAACTTTCATGCCAGTGTTTTAAAATGACACAGAGAACTGGAATTATTGGCTAATTTGCATATTTTGCCAACAATCAAAAACACACCGTCGTAGGCAGAAACAAGTCTTTTGCCTTTTGGTTGGGAGATGATAAGATTTCCAGTTTAATGACAAAAGTCAATTTTGAGTGAATCCACTTTTTACCATATACAGTAACCTAGACATCATGTTTCCCAGAGGTTTGAGTCATTTTCTTAAAATAAAGTTAGGCAAATGTTGCAGTGAAGTTTATTTCATATCAAATCATAGTTTTTATATTGCACAATCATTCCTTTATTCAACGTGACTTCATCCACGTCAAAGCTGCCACACCCTAGTGACTAAGAATCATGACGGATGGTTCATAAAAAAACAGAAACGGACACCCTTCGGAATGTAAATAAGAAAACATCTCAAAGCCTAATTACTCCTTTGAAGAAAACACTCAGCATCTGAGATGCTTTCCAACAGTGAGATAGGAGATTTGCAGGAGTGATTTGACTCACTGCCAGCTACTACGCGCCACTTTTCTCCGGCAGTGCTTTCTTAAATATGCATGCCCTACATTTCCCCACCTCCTCCCAAATTCAAAAGGATGTCCCCCTGCTCTTGCCTCCATGTTCTTCGGTCTCCTCTCTCCTCCTGCAATTCGCTTTATTTGTGGTTGACCCAATTTCCAGGTTTGATCCATCCTGCCGTGTTGAGGCAGACTGTGAAGCGACAGTCTGACAGACAAAGGCACATCAACACAAACTAGCATCAATATCTCGACTGTGCCCAACACGATGCTCACCCATGCCTCAGTAAGAATGAACCCATCATTCTTTGCTTCCTGGAGCTAAATCTACAGTCTTTTCTTTGCCTTCCCAAGTCAAGACACACATCGTCCCTCCTTGCAGCTCCTTTAAGTGTTTGATTTAACTTATGGTATGACCATCAAACACCTGAGAATGTCAGAAAAGCGGAGGCAACTCTCCAGGTGGGAGCAAGTGGAGGAAGAGAGAAGAGAATCTGCCTTGGCAGCTTATGCGTTTGTCTGAGTACATCCTGAGTCAATCCAACCTAAGGAAGTATATTTGGAAATCAGAATGAATTGTTCAATTTTGTGAGACTGACGAGTGTAATACTAGTCTAGTGCAGCAGCAGCTACTGCTCGGTGTCTCCAAGCTGCTGTTGACATATAAATGCCTTACATAACTACATTACATTGCGCAATCAGAGCAGAGGGGTCTGAGGAATCAGGACACAATGGTTTTATAATATCTAAAGATGAAAAGAAAATCCATGGATTATAGAAAATGAGCTTGACCAATTTCAAATGGTTATTTAAAAGAATACATGCTATGTTAGGAAATTCTCAGAACGGGCTTTTCGAGTAAATCTACAGCCAAGAGATTAAAGTTTTTTTTTCTTTACAGGATTTAACTTGATTGTTAAATGCTTCTTCTAAAGTTCGACCACAAAGCAACCTTTGCTACAGTAAGCTGTATAGCTATAAAATGTGCACATTGAGTAATGACTCTGGCCATCTTATCTCTGAACGGTTCTACACTCCCTTTGCATTTTTAAAACACACTCGTTTCTCATTCAGATTTTCTTGAGGCTGCTCCCCAGCCCTCTCTCTAGGTCACAGGAGCAAGAGCTGCTGCTGCTGAGTCAACATCACAAGTGGAACACTGGTCCCAAACTTGGACACGCACAAACAAAACGCACACACATGCACGAAGGAAACAGCCCATTGCTTGAGCAATCCTCTCAGCTATTTTATCTGGAAGTAGGTTAAGAGGAACCCTTCCAGAATGTCTCACAGGTAAAGCTATCAACCTACAAGGTTCATGAACCACTCAGCACTTTTGTAAAATAATTTAATGTACACTGGAATTTAAAACTCCAGCTTCCTTGTTGGAAAATAGTTATTTACCCGTAGGCGTCATCTCGGAATGGGATTAGCTATACTCACATGTTAAATCAGGTCGTAATTAGTTAAGTTGCTAAATGAGTAAAACATGACCCCATTTCTCCAAAAGAAGTTACAGATGACACATTTCATTATTTTAAGCAAGATTAGTTTGTTTATTTCATGATCAAGAAAGGACTGCAAAGTAAAAGTTTAGACCCCCGTCATGGTAAGTCATTTCTGAGGTCCCATTAAAACAGGAACGCTGTCCAAAACAATTGTTTTGCTAAAAAAATACGATTATATTTTGTAGAAACTTTTTCGCCAACACAAAGGCACAAAACATGACCTAAACATCAAAGTGCCTGAGCAGACACTCCAAACTGTAAACACCAGAATAAAGCGACAAATGGCAAACACAAGAGGGGAAAAACTAATCCTTATTGTGGGCTGAAAACAAAGTGGAGCATCTTTGTGACAGGATAAACTATTGCTGATACTGCTGTTTTTACTTAAATAGAAGGAATCTAAAAAATTGTGACTTAAATATTTGCCTCCAAATTCTAGCAGTTGATAATACATTTATTCATCAAAACTACTGTAAGACAATCAGACCTGAGCAAATTTAACCTTTTCTGATTTTACTTAATCTAAAATCAAGCAGCCATACTTCTCAACAACTACTGCAGAAGTAAAAAAATAAACCCAATTTTAGCTTCACCTCAGAGGTGGCCTGTGTTTCAGAAATGACGTTCAGTTTCTCATTGTCATTTTTAAGCACATTTGAAATTAGCCCATGAATATAACAGTGGAAGTCAAACTGCACATGAACCTGGGTAAAGCATGGGCTCTTGTGGTGGGTCAATACTAAGGATAGGATTGAAGATCTGAAGTGATCATGTCTTGTCTGTCAGAGCTCCATGACTGATCTGACAGATTACATTACATCACTATATCTGTCCATGTTATCTCTTTATGAAAAGGTCTTTTTATAATATGCTCTGAATCAACTTATTTATCATGCTAAAGTTTTGTCATTATTTTACTAGACTGTATTTTTGTTTCGCTGGCTGTGTATTTATATTTATCATGTAGGTACATTGAAACCTTATTTGTTTAAATCACTGAATCATTTTGCTTTCACTGACTTAAAAATGAACCCTGGAGCTAATGTCCTGGGCCACATAGGTTTCAGCTGGACTGAAGATTGCTTTCTGTACTTGTTACAGGTAAACAGTGTGTGTGTGTGTGTGTGTGTGTGTGTGTGTGTGTGTGTGTGTGTGTGTGTGTGTGTG